CTCCTCAAAAAACTTCTCAGTAAGAGCAGGTCCCAGTTGTTAATTCTTTCAGCTGTTTCCCTTGCAATTTGATTTTTGTTCGTAAACTCTTTGCCTACCTCTATGTCTTCAAGAGTTCCTTCTACTTTCTCTTCCAGGAGGTTTGGTGTCTCTGCTTTAATGTTTAGATCGTTAATCCATTTTGACTTTAGTTTAGTGCATGGTGATATACCTGGGTCACGTTCGAGTTTTTGGCGTGTATAGAACCAGTTTTTCCATCACCATTTGTTAAAGAGGCTATCTTTCTGGAATTATGTGTAAACATAAGAATTGTATAATTCTTTATACCTATTTTTAAAATATATTTTAATTTTTAAATCTTTTTTTCTTCATATTCTGTAGGGATAAAGTTCAACATATCAATACTTGATGAAAAATACCTCTTCTATGTTACACCTTAGATGTTTGATATTGAGACAGATAGTGAGGTTCACCTTAACAGCCTAGGTTATATGGTAATAACAATAAGCTTCTCTTCTGGAGGGTTAACAACCTAAGTTTTCAGATGAAAATTAGAGAACAAGTAGGGTCGCAAATAAAGCTAACATTTTGGCCCTAGCTTTCCAAGTTCAACTAAGTCTCAGGACATATGAGAACTTGTACTGAAATGTCATTTAACTCAATACTGTCCCAAATTTTCTGATCAAGGAGATTATGGGACCAAAGAGGAATGTGATCAGTGATGTAGAGTGTGCCTTAGGAGAGTCACATGGAGAGAAAACATTCTCTCAGGCTTTCACAGAGAGCACATTGGCCAAGTAATGGCCGTGACTCATCCACATGGCTGAAACTGATGAAGGATCTACAATCCTAGGTACAGGATCTCAGGATAAATCCTGAGGGGATTTGATTATCCGTATCAAATCCCAAAGCTACATTTCTTGTTATATAGGTCTTTATCTCAGTCTTAACCATCCAGCAGAAAAGTATAGAAATGAATTATAAGAAGTAAAGCCATGCTATTATGTTGAGCTGTGGGGGACTCAAGTCAACAATTTCTGACACTGACAGTCAAGAGGAAGACCAAATACTATTATGGACTAGTGGACTCTTTTAGAATATTTTGCTGAGTTAAATACCGATAATATTCAAATGACGGATCTAAACAAAAAAGGGGATACCGATGAATGTCCATTTTGTATCTGTGTATTCAAAATGGTTAGGATAGATATATAGTTACATTCTCTTAATGAATATAGGGATTTGTCATAATAGTGTTTTTAAATAGGATATCATGTCTGCATCTTGCACAGCAAATAACCACTAGGAAGAGAGTATGCAGTATGTTATTTATTGAAACTGTCATACCAATTTGATTTGAAACTGTCTCATTCCTATTTGTCTCTCAATAAAATTATGGAAGAAAATAAAAAAAGAAATAATAAACCAAAGCAAAATTAAAAAAAAATCCAGTAATCCAAAAACAGCCAATGAAAAACAACATGTAATAAAAAGCCTACTGACAAAGTAAAGTCCAGGCCCAGATGGATTCACAACTGAATTCTCTAAGAAATTTATGGAAAGGGTTTGGAGAGATGGCTCAGTAGAACAAGTGCTTCTCTGGCAAGTGCAAGGGCCTGAGTTCAATCTCCAGTTCTGCAAAAGAAAAAGAAAAAAAAAAGCAAAAAAGAAATTTACAGAAAGATATAATCCCAATACTCCTCCAACTCTTCAATGAAATTGAATGAAAGAAATCCTCCAAAAATCATTCCTGGAGACATGTGTTATGTTGATATGAAAAGCAAGAAGGAATGCAGCTAAAAAGGAGAACTTCAGGCCAATCTCCTTCATGAACATAGAAGCAAAAGTCCTTAGTAAAATCCTAGTAAATAGAATACAGCAAATCATCTAGAAGATCATACATCATTTCCAGGTAGGATTCATCCCAGGCATGTAAGGATGGTTCAATACATGCAAATCTATAAATGAAATACACTCTATCAATAGAGCAAATCGTAAATGCACATGACCATCTCAGTTGATGCAAAGGGTTTTGTCAAAGTCCAACACTCATTCATGTTCATTGTCCTTCAGAAAATTGTACTAGAAAGACTCAACTTCCATCTGATTAAAGCTATGTATGACAACCCAACGGCTAATATAATTCTACATCGGGAAAAACTAAAATCTTTTTATCTCAGATATGGTACAAGAAAAGGATGTCCTCTGTTAACCTTCCTATTCAAAATAGTTCTGGAATCATTAGCTAGAGCCATTAGACGAGATAGAAATAAAAAGAATAAGAATAGGTAAAGAAGAATTTAAATTATCAGTATTTGCAGATGACATGATACCTTACTTGGAAGATGCACAGACTCCACCAAGAAGCTACTAGAATTGATACACAAGTTCAGTAGCATAGCAGGATACAAAGTAGATACCCAAATGTCAATACTATTCTGCTAGATAGATACCAAACACATTGAGAGGGAAATTAAACAAACAATATCTTTTACAATAGCACTGAGGAAAATGAAATTTCTTGGAATTCCTCTAAAGAAGTCGAAGATCTTATCAAGGAAAATTACAGTACTCTGAAAAAGAGAGTGGAGAGGCTTTCAGAAAATGGAAAGATGTTCCCTGTTCCTAGCTAGGAAGAAAGAACA